AAATTTCAAGGATTGGAAAGAGAATGCATTGATTGTTCTTGGTTGCATGGATCTAGATCTTGCGCCCTGGATTGAGCAACCCACTCCTCTTACAAAAGAAATATCATCTGATGAAAAGAGGAACTTTGAGAAGTTGGATTGCTCAAATCGCACGAGTCCAATAATCATTAAGCATGGCATTCCCGAAGCCTTTAGAGGCCTAGTGTCTGAAGAAGATTAAGAGCGGAAGCAGACCTTGGTCTATGTATCTGATTGTTTGAATTATACGGGTTATGATTTTCTAATTGATATGCAATTCCTCTAGAATTCTTCTATGTTGATAGGGATGCTGAGAGATTGAAAATCACGTCCAATTGGGAACCATGACCCCATGATGTGATAACTGTATTGAGCAGTTATTATCTTTTCGCTTATTTTAAACTTGGTCCCTCATCAATTTAAAATAATTTTCTGGTCTCTACACTTTATTCCATGACATTTAATACCCATTAGTTCAAAATTGGCTTTAATAGATCATTTTATTGACTAAACTTTCAAGATAGCATTACACATTTTAATATATATACACGTGTGGCCCCCACACGTTGGAATTTTCCAACAATCTCCCAATGAGCCATACATGTAATCTTATAAATGTGCACAACCTTATGAATTCAAAATTTTGCTATCATTATTAATGGTATTTCCAAATAATCTCGTCCTTCAGTTATATTGATATAGGATCAAAGCGATTTTCATCACATTTAGCTTGACTAAATCCATCAATGGTCTGTACACCCATACAACCAAATGACATAGATCAATCATGGGAGTGCAGCATGAAAATTACATATTATGTGATCCAAACATGTCTATTTTCAATTGTTCCAACCTTATTTCTTAAGTGGGATCAATACTGAACATAACAACATAGTGAAATGAACTGGATACTTTATTTCTGTACAGAAAAATATCCAAATACACAAATATGTCCAAAACATAAAGTAATGAGAATACAAANCAAATACACAAATATGTCCAAAACATAAAGTAATGAGAATACAAACTCCCATTAAAATATGATATCCTCATGAAATATAACACTCATACGAGCAGTGTGCTCATGAAAGACTTTGACTAGTGGGTATTAAATGTCATGAAAATAAAGTGTAGAGATCAGAAAATTATTTTAAATTGATGAGGGACCAATTTAAAATAAATAAAAAATAATAACTGCTCAATACAGTTATTATATCATGGGGTCATGGTTCCCAATTGAACGTGATTTTCAATCTCTCTGCATCCCCATCAACAAAGATGAATTCTATAGGAATTGCGTATCAATTGGAAGATCATAACCTGTATAATTCAAGCAATCAGATACATGGATCAATGTATGCTTCTGCTTTTAATATTCTCATTGATTTCAAAGTAGAGAGTATATATCCTATCAAAAAAACATTATATATATATGCATGTGAAAAGGGTTTGATAAAGTTTTGGATTGATAATCTCTTTTCTAATCCATCAACAATGACAACAACAAACTCATCTTTATCCATAATAAATTTGGGGTCGGCTATATGAATCTGTTTTTGCCACAGTTCTGGTCATTGCTACATCAATGGAAGATCCAAAACAATTAAATCCTTAGCAACTACAACAGGTTTCGGTCTACCCTCCATCTTGTAACCTCATTTTCTGAAAGTTCTCAAAAGTTTGAATTAAACTTCAAAAGTTACCATCCATTTTCGAAAAATACATTAAGAATCTCCAGATTATTTCTTCCTGCAAATAAGATGTTCTCTCGGTGCATTCCAAACTCAGATTGTGTTGACGTCTAGATTTCCCAAAAGTGGAATAGAAAGGATCTCTGCCAACTTTGTGATTTTTAACAAATAACATTAATTGTCCGCAAAATATAGCAATTTGAACGGCTGAAAGTTCAGATGTACAAGACTGTACCACTGACCTTCTTCGATGAAATCAATGCTGTTTCAAGTATGCAAAATTCTAAAAATAGCAGACATGAATCGAAGCAAAATGGGAATTCATGCTATCAAATCAAGTACATTAACTGATTCAGTGTAGTTAGAGAACGAGTAAGTTGATAGGATTCAGTTATTTTCCTGGTAAAAATGCCAAACGCGAGCACTTCTTAAATGGTATCTACGCGGGAAGAGAGCTCGTGGGGAAATATGTAGGGACTAAAACTTTTTAATAGCATAGAAGGATAGGAAGATTTCATACCTCAATCTGAATATGATTTAGGGAATTTTGACAATTTGCTTCAAACATGTCTTACGACCAACAAAATATATGCTTTCAGAGCTTCTAACAATCTATATTTGAAGAAATGCTTGAGCACTACCAGTCAATTTGCTTAAGTGGTTGTTTGTATAAAATTATAATCTCATCATAATTTGAAGTCGAACTATAATTTTATCCAGACAAGCACTAAATCACTTGACAGAATCCTTCATGGTCATATTAGTCTGAATAATATGCTCAAAAAGAAGTTTTCACTGACGGAATATCAGATAGGGGTATAAAGAAAAGCAGCATACGTAATAAATGAAAATGCATTGTAAAAATCAAATTGGGTAGGCTTTTCTCTCTTTTAATTCAAGTCAATCTGTATTAAAACAGTCAATGTTTTTATCAAGATGTTGAAAGTTTTAACGGTAGGCTTTAAGCACAAAAATGTTTTATGACAAAAGCTCATTCCCTTCTAGCATCTGCAGTTCTTCTGGCAGTCATGCAGAACTGCAGATGCTTAAGAAATGCATAATGCTGCCCAGCACACTAGCTACAATGAGGAAGATGACACCCCGATTTACAAGATATTAGCCAAAATTCAATTACGTAGAATTACATGTCAACTTGGTAGGTAAATTCATCAGTAAGAGAAGCACAGATATCAGAGTCTGACCATTATATTGTTGATCCCGGAAAGGGTATCTCTGCTTCAAGAGCAATGACTTTAGCTCTTCTAGTGTGAAGTCAACTGCATGTGATAACAGAACAAATTTACCAATAGCTTTAGTAGTATTATACTCGTGGAGAACATCGACAATTTAAAAAAGGAATGAGATATTACTTTAAACAATGCTGAATACTCAAACTCAATGCACATAAACACATTTAGTTGAATATAGCAGCAAAACAATGAGTTGCAGTGCAAAAATTAAATAAACGTTAACATAATTTAAATTACTGCTAGCAAACATGAACGGATTGTTTAAATGCAAACAATCCACTTAACAAAAACGCTACAATCAATTACATTTACCCATTGTCCATACCAGTGAAGTAGCCAGTAATGTTGACCGCTTGAACCTCATAGGTTCTCTTTCTGTCGGCAAACTCTTTGTGATCATCTATATCAGTAGTGTCATCAAGGTTCACGTCGTGTGAGCATATAAGAACACCATCTTTGGTGGCCAAAACATCTGCTTCTATAAAATCAGCACCTTCTTCAATAGCTTTCTGCAAGAATATCAAAGTTCAGGTACATATTGAACACAAAGTTATGAATGGAAAGAACTTACTTCATTTCCCATAACTGTATCAAGTTTTTTACTTTTAAATACTTAAAAACTTTGTACCACTGTGAATTGAATTTATAATTTTTTTTACTGTTTAATTTGTGCATTTTACCTTTCTATATGACTGTCCAAACATGTATTAACTGTGGATAAACATGGTGTTTAGGCTGTTTCGTGAAATAATATTCCGAACAGCAGCATATGCAAATCTGTTTGTTGCTTAGAGCATAAATATCTGAACATTTATTTGGTAGTAATAAGATGTATACGGATTAAGAGATTAGCCATCGTATAAACATACCATGTATGCAGCAGCACTTTCTTCAGGAATTTCTCCATTTGAACCTCGATGAGCAACGTTATACGGGCGAAATGTTTGCAGGGGCCTTCTATTTCTATCGTTTCTCCTGCTAGGGAGTGGGTATAGAGGTCTTGCGGAGCACCAATCAACAAGCAGCAGAAAAATGAAAGGGACAACAATTCCTGAAAAGATAAATGTTTGAGCATTGATGAATGCATTACATACCAACATATTACTTTACATTTACCAGCATTTTGCAGTACTTGCTATCTAGAAAACAATATCCTTAAACTAAAAATCAGCATTAGCAGTTGCAACAATTATGAGACAATCACCAGGTGAGATTAATTTAAAAATCAAATGAATAAATGAAGTTTAATGATTGTCCTCTACTAGATTCAACTACCACGTATGGAAAGAAATTAAATTCTGGTATTTCTGCAGGCACTCATGGGTGTTTTTCTAGACCTTTGACCACATTCTTGTAACAAAATCAACCAACATTCGCAACCTTCAGAGTGTTTGATATAGACGCCAGCGTATAGAAACAAATTACCCAGAATTCTCAATATTGATCACTCAAAAACCCACGAACAGTGTAAAAAAATTATCCAACTGTCAAACTAGAAACAAATTACATAAATATAAAACTCACCAAAACATGCCTATATAAATTACAGAGAAAGATGAATCGATTCAAGAATCTATATATGTGTTCTGATACTCACTCAGTGAAGGCATTAGTCCAGGTCCCTCCTCCTCTTCGGTGCTCTCCAGGATTAACCACTTTCAATATTCAAATTATAACAGATTTTAGAGAATATTGAAGTTACCCGACGAAACGAGAGACTACTGGGACCGTAGATTTGTGCCGAGCTTAAAAAATTATTTATTTCACATTTGCATTTTATATACTGTTTGAGCCCCATTTCCAATGTAAAATGAATTTTTGAACAGAAGATTGATTGAAAATGTATGATTAAATATAAAGGAAAGTTTTTGAATTGTGTGTAATAATATTGTATTGAAAAATGTGTGATTGAAAAGAAGAAGAAAAAACATATTTTGAAAAAGGGTTTTACCGGTGATACATCAAAAGAAGTACCTAATGGGTTACATCCTATCTCATGTGAGGAGAGTGTAACCCCTTTTGTACATCTGTAGGTATCGCTAACAAAATTCTTTTAAAAAATTGAGGGCTTAAACTTAAAAATTATATTTGTGGTAAACAATATTTTAATGTAACATAACTAATAAATTTTAGCATAAATTACAATTTTTTTTTAATATAAATATTCTAGCTCGATAAGATTTCTATTGTTATTGATCCACCAACAATTACATTAAGTTTTTGAGAAAAAAAAATAATAATGTAAAATTATGAGATATTTATTAATAACTAATTAATTTTATCTGAATACTTGAAAAAATTTACTTACTCTAATCTCATAGAAATTTGAGACCCTGTATATATGAATTATTTTAAATTAAAATATAACATTTTTATATATTGAAACCCTATATATATGGATTATTTTTATATAAAAATATAACTTTTTTTTTATATAAAGAATATCTTTTAAACGAGGTTATTTTCACCACAGCAGTCAACATACGGCTATTTTGATAAAAAAATAACAATAATAATTTTTCTTTGTTATTATTATTGTTAAATGTATTGATTTGGTTATTGTTAGCCCATTAACTTGGCCCATTTTGTGATATGTTTTGGCCCAATTTATTTGACCTAATCCATTATATAATTATCCATCCCCCTGATACTAGACAGGGTGGTGCAAGAGAAGAGTCGTGAGAGAGAGCAGCTCGATTTCTTGGTGACTTTGGAGCCATTGTCTTCTTCTTGTTTCTTCTTACCTTAGTAGTTTATTGCATCCACCCATTATTGATCATTTGTGTGTTAATATAGAGAGTGTAACTTGTGGCAACCAAGGTGGAGGGAAGTGTTTGGGTCGAGATTAAGTTGTGTGATATTTGATTGTAGTTGTTTTTTAGCTTAAGAAGTAAAGTTGGAACACTTAAAATCTAACATTTGGTATCAGAGCGTGGGTGGAAGAGAAATCTATGATTTTTGGTGAAAATGGGGGTTGGAAATCGAGCAGAAAAAAATTATGTCAAGATTTTTTCAACCATAAACTGAACCTTCAACTGTGTTTTTCGGCCAAACCAGTGGTCATTTGAAAAAATCAAGACCACCAGTGTGTTCAGGAAGCTGAGGAGTAGCTGGGTAGGTGGCACGTGGAGGAGGCCCAGCGCATGCGGGCGCGTGGGCCCTCTTCTGGAGATGTGTTCTTTAGATGATTTTTTCAGGACCTCAAGACGGACCCTGCGGTGTTGTCGGATTTCAGTTTCGGGCAATACGGTGAAAGTTGGACGTTTTTACCCTTTGGACGCTCAGGTGCCGGGTGTCGTTTTGTGTTGCCACGGTTGCTAGAGACTTTAGGACGAATGGTGACGGCCGTAAAGTGGTGAATTTGCAACTCTCGATATTCATGGACCTTATGGTATTGTGTTCTTTACATTTTATTATTGCAGTTAAAAATTATTGTGTAGGATTACTTATTTTTTGCAATAGAAGTCATGGTGTGGGGTGACGTTAGGTTTGTGATTACCGTGAAGGGGTAATCATTGCCTGTTGCTAGACCAGGAATTACATGTTAATTATTTGTCTTGAATTCTATGTGAATTAGTTGCCAATTAAATTTTTTCATTATTAGAATTGCACGTAACCTTAAGAAAGTTTATTTGACTATTATGTGTGAATTGTGTCAGTACTTTACTTATGGTCGTTGTTGATTGCATTTTAGTATTCTGTGCATTTTTGGATAAAATGACGACACATTATGAGTTGTGCATGTTTTAATGAAAAATATAATATTTTAGTTTGGCAAATGTGGTCTAAGGCAAGTGCGAAAAATCAGATGTGTTTTAACTGCATTATTTTGGACATTATTGAACTAGACTGTCCTAGGGATGATAAAAGGAAANGAATGATAATAAAAGGGAAGATTAGGAGAGTTGTGAGGTGAATTTTGTCATTGGGTCGAGTTATGAACTGTGTGAGGTTTATTCAGAGTAAATCTAGTTACTGCCGAGCATCTGTGTGTGATCCTTTTTGCATGTGTGATCACTTAATTCTGTTACATGGTGATATATTACACTTTCAATATGTTTGATGTGTGTAATAGCATGAATTGAAATGATCTTATTACTTTGTGTAATGTGTTTGCTTGTATAGTGGGTTGATATCTATGACGTATTCCATTTTGCTCTGTGAGTGGTGTGAGAGGGTTGGGTAGTAAGTAGTAAGAGGGGCAACCATTTTCTCCTTCATCATTGTGAGCCAGTGTGGTTTGTGAGATTATGTGTGTCGGCCTATGAGGGTTATCTTCGTTCTCTGTGTGAGCATCTTTTGTGAGTATAGTGAAGTAACCAACTTTTTCTTCTATTCTCTTTCTGAGTGCCACCTTCACCTTTCCATTTGTAGGATAAATTTTTTGTGGATTTGTAAGAGCATTGGTGTTGGAGTAACATTGTGGTACGTGGATCAATTTAAATTTGAGCTCTAACCCTTGTGGTCGCCGATAGTTGTTGATTTGCCATAGTGGATTTGGAATGTATTAGCGGTAAGTGTGTATGTCTTTTGGTAAGGTGGAGTATAGATGCCTAGGGGTATATTGGTTGTTTGTACCGTGAGATGTGGAGTGTGACATTTGGATCACAGTGGAGATGTGATTAAATGTTTGGAATCATTTATCTGTGAAGAGACCCTGATCAAGTGGAGTACGAAAGAGGCACTTTTATCACTTCTGTTAGGTGGAGACCCATTATCCACGTAGGTTGTGATAAGTTATGTGGTGATAGAGGATTATCCCGAGAACTTAGGATCTATAGAGATTTACCAGTTAGACATGTGTTGAATGATTAGTCTCGTAAGCATGGTTGGGCGATGAAGTGAGATACGTGTTCTCGAAGAGTGAGTAACACAGAATGGGATAAGATAACTGTGGTGAGATCTTCGTGAGGTCATTTATGCATTTGTTGTATATGTGTTGACCGTGTGTTTGATTAATTTGGTGTTAATATGTTGTTCTGTGTGAGCATATTTTGAAATGATCTATGTGTTATCCTATATGATATCTCTCATCGCATGTTTATTTACTCTTGATTGATTGCTGTGATTATCTGTTTCTACTTGGGTGTTCTTGATCTTAGCATGGTGAGTATATGGAGCATGTATGTTATGTGTTTCGGGTTCGAAATACGAGGTAAGGTCTACGATACCAATTTTATTAGCTACCTTGATTGTGCAAGTATAAATTTTGTGTTTTGTTTGCTCGCAAATTTTTTGGGAAATCAAGGTGGAGATTTGTTGGGTTTTTTGATACCCAATAAATTCAGACGATGATGAAAAATAGTTGTCGAGAATTTATCGACACTATACGTTTGGCTCGACTCGAATACTACCCACACTTTTGAAAGCTCAAAGTTGGGGTTTTAATTAGTATGGCTTTTTTTGTTTATTGTTAGGCCCATTTATTGGTATTAAGTTGACCTATTTCCTTTGGCCCAATTTATGTGACCTAATCAATTATATAAATATCCATCTCCCTAATACTAGACATGGTGGTGCAAGAGAATAGGGCTGTAAACAAAAATCGTCAAACCGGAAAATCGAACCGAAACCGCAATTTCGAAACCGGCGGTTTGGTGTCACGTGGATCCGTCAACGAAATGGTTCTGAACCAAACCAAACCGGTAAAAACGGTTTGGTTTAGATTTGGAAATTTTAATTATGGTTTGAAACCAAACCGGACCGGCGAAAAATATATAAAATAAAAAAATAAAAAATCGATTTTTTTTGAAAATTTATCCAAAATTTCAATTTTGTAAAATTGAATAATTTTGTCATTTTTTAATTTTCGTCAATTTCTAATTTCCGATTAATTATTAAGATTTACGACCCGTTCAAGCCTAATTATATATAAAAAAAGGCCCAAATTTGAAAAAAGTAGCACTAAACGGCCCAACCCAAGTCCATATACCACAAGTCACAACCCTAATCTTTTAATTTCCATTTCTCTCACTCGCAACTCGCTGGTCGCAACCTCGCTCCCCACGGTGCCTCCGGTTTCCCCCAAATCGTAAATTCCCTCGAAATCTCGAACCTCCCAATCGCTGGTAGTGTACGTTCGCCGATATTATTAGACTATTTCAGGTTCTTGCATAATTATTTGATCGTGAGTAAGGCTTAAAATTGAAATTTTGTCACTTGCTAGTTGAAATATGTTTACATATTTATTGATTGTGAGTAAGGCTTAAAGTTGAAATTCGGGTTATCAGGTGCGTAAAAGACATTTGTTACATATGAGAGAATATGTATAATTCCGTATTAAATTGCAGAAGATGAAGGTGGATATATATAGTGGAATGGGGGAGAAAAAATATTTGCAGCTTATCTTTTGGAAACCATTATTAGATGAATCCGTGTCTTAATTCTTTTTTTTTTCCAATTTGCTAATTAAAATTTTTTTTGTGTATGAAGGACAAATGATCATGAGTTCTGTGGCTTGTTGAGTATGTGAATGTTTTCTCCTTTTGCTAGTTATGTGACAAAATTTGATGTTTCTTAAGTTCTGTGACAAAATTAATTCATTTATTCCTTTTACTAGTTGAAAAAGGACATTATTACTTTTTTTGGATCTTATATTTATTTTAGTGGA